CAATAATCAAGAGGTCCTATTGTGTGTAGATAAATTGTGATGCATTAATCAAAGAGTCCTACCATAATATTACTTATTTGCCTACTGTAATCAGACATTTCCGCTATACGCTTCATCAAATGCAACATGTGTGTTTATATCATACAGTGCATTCTTATCTCATTATTATCTCATTGATATCAGTATTGGATTGCAACATTATGTTAACATGTGTTACCCGACAATATCACGATTTGATCACATGAACCACGTGCGCTACAGACATATCTACTAAAGTACATATCGTAACTATGATATATATGATTGTATGTAATTTGTTGTTAGATTATACAAGACAATGGGTCAGATAGGTGTTCTCTTTATTATTGTAGCTACGGTATCACACGTACGACTCTGATTGTTTTATGACGTCTTTCCAGTTATGACGGCTCACGCATACCGTCACATATGACTCCACCATTAAGACTTTCCTTTTAATAAATAATATATCAATGACGTGTAGACATATTCACAGTTAATCATTTTAATTGTCCAAATTGTTAGTTTAAACAAGGCAATGTCTAAATATTAAATAATTCTATGCACTAGTACAGTAGCAATTATGTGATAAATTATAGATAACAAGTGCATTATTCATCGGTGCTTGATTCCAATTGTTGATTTTTTTTTAAAGATTTCTCTGCAGGGATTTCACTTTCCCTATGCAGTCACATATCCGATATAATATGTGAGCTGCAGCATCAAATTGGAAGCGCTGACAATTTAGGAAGATTTATGTTGCCGGACCCGTAATTGGGTTTTTAAGTATACACACCTGAGAAAATACAAGCAAACTATTTATATAGCTATACCTACATTCACCTAGGAGGATGAGAAAATATGAACTTTAGTATAATTATATATTTCAAGCGCATAGAGACCACGTACGCACTATATCAGCCCCAACCATTTTCAATACCAAATATATCCACTTATAAAGAAGTTATAATTATGTCCAATTATTTTTTTTACAGTACCATCATCATCATACTGCTAAAATGGGTTAACGTTTCATTCAACATTATTTGCCTTAAGTCTATCCACATGTAAGAGATGGGTCGTGTCAATGGGCTCCCTAAAACGGGCTCAATTCTGCGACGAAATTGCATTATTCCCCGATGGGTGTATAAAGGCCTGTTTATACTAGCAACGATGACGATAACGATAAAAATGTAAAGGGCAATTGTTCATATAGAAAATAATAGAAATAACAGAAGTTTTTACACTAGGACGATTCGATAACGAGTTATCGGTTACCGGTATGTGATAACAACATATTTTGACAAATCAAATCAGATGACGTCATAATCATAGAAAACGTTAAAATTGTAGTAGTAGCAACGATTTTATCGTTTTTCCATGATTATTACGTCATCTGATTTGATTTGTCGAAATATTTTGTTGTATACACGATAAATCCTTATCGAATCGTTCTAGTGTGAAAACTTCCCCCATTTCTTTTATTTTCTATATGAACAATTGCTTTTTAACTTTTTATTGTTATCGTTATCGTTGAAGTATAAACAGACCTCTAATACGATGAAGAGGGAAATGCGCATTGTAACTGATAAATAAAATGCACAATATACGAACAATACAAAAACATAAGGTAACGAAGATGAGGATGACGAAGACAGTCATGAGTAATAATTATTATATAATATGAGCTTTAAAACTGATATTCATCAATTAACAGCTGTAATTCTTCGTAATTCTATCCCATTTGCTCAACGACTAGGCCTCTCGTTACTTGACTACCTGAAACCCTTTTCGATTTTGGTGTGGCTGGGACGTCGTACGCATCATCATCACCATTATCATAATCATCATCACTGTCTTCATCATCGACATCATCATTATCATCGACATCATCATCATCATCATCATCATCTTCATCCCCTTCATTGATACCCTCATTATTATCACTAATAATATAAATGCAAATGTGTGGAGCAGAGATCAGACATTTATATAATTATGCAATTAACAACAGTAAATTATAAACTATTTAAATAAACATATACCGTATATAATAAGAAGCTAAACACATGCTAACTGCATTACCTGTCAACCTTCAGAAATTTCAAAGAGTAAGATCGGGTGATACATAATGAGTGCCGAAGGCACGAACAGTGGCTTGGGGTCAGGGGGCTGCCAAGGGCTCCCGGTCGGGATCCAGCTTTGGCTTAAATGGCATATCTAATCGATATTAGTGAGTTTATAATGATCTGAGATACAGTAGCATTGAAAGATAATTTAAGATAACGAAAGGCATCTTCCCTTCTTATGAAAATTAATTACAAATTGAAAAAGAAACAAAATTTACTCAAATTTTAGGATAAGCGTATAAGACCGTAAGATTTGATTGCAATGCGTAAGACTTACGGCGAATGCGTACGGGTTGACAGGTCTTTAACTCGTGGCCTAATACTCTGTAGGCCTACGGTCGAATGATTTAAAACAATGTAGGGCATGGGCCTACCAATAAGCCTGGAATTTGTATTTGTGTTTTTATCTCACTATTATTTTGTAAAGTATTCTCATGTAGGCCTATAATTACATTGCGAATGATCAGAAAATACATTATATTATAGAATAAATTGAAACTGAACTGGTAGTAGCCGGATCTGCTAATGGCAAGCTGACGTAGACGGTCCGCTGCGTGTCGATATATGGTAGGCTTACGCTAATATTATGGAACTACCATTCGTTTAGTACAGCATTAGCATTTTACACATGGAAGATTAAATTAACTTAGTATTCTAATTAAACACCGTGAATGTTCTCTACTTACCGTTGCCTTCTTCTTCCACTGGTGCTCCAGTAATGCTTCTTAATAAACAAAAGATAAATAGTAATACAGTAGGCTTAAACATTGTGTTGAGCCAGAGCGACAGATTCATCCTTATTCAGGCGACGTAAACGTGTAGAGACTACGCACTACAATGTAACAGGAACCGGAACTAGACTTCGTATGTGAGTGAGACTGCTAGAGTAAAACTCCGGCTTGGACCAATACATTTGTCAAACTGGTCATAAGTCGGCGAGCATGATCTTTATATTTCTTGTTTGACGTGGGTTAATTACCGTATTGATGAACCCCATCCAGCAAGTTCATTTGAAAGAATCAACCTTGACAATATGGGAGGTAGAACATGTCAAGGAAAGATGATTTTATATACATACTGAAATGTATTACGGTTACTTAAAACATTTTTGATAGATCCCCTAATTTTTTTCATCTTATTTCTCCAGGATTAGTTGTACATTAGATTTATGTAAAAAAAAAAACAATTTTAGTAAGGTAAAATTAGTTTTATTTATAAAATTTTAATATAATATTGTTTTCATCTTTGCGCTCCAAATGAATTATATAATACACCAAACGTTAACCGCAATTCGTCTGTAATTTGCAATAATTTATTTAAAATAAGAATCAAGTAGATTTTCATTCGTAGACTTTCATCAAGTCATAAAGACCTATGCTGTATATTGATTACCGGTATATTTATGGAAAGTAAAAAAAAAAAAAAAAAAAAAAAAAAAACGTGCTCATGAAGCTCTCTGAGATTAGTAACGTCCTTGATCTGTGACCAGATAGCCTTTCATCTCAAACGCCAACCGGAAACATTTTTAATTCTGTAAATATAAATAATTTATAACTACATATGAATATTAAGATGTTGATATAAAATGATGATTAAGCGTGACGATGAACGCAATCATGTCAAAAGTAATATTAGACTTGCATGTGATGTAAAGCAATCCAGGCTAATTACTGCCTATGTGGCACGCAGAACTAATACTAGGCCTAGGCAAATTATATTACTTTTCTACGTGAGGATATAATGTAATTGCGTAAGTCTATGCTAAAATCAGAGTAGGCTTACAGGTACCAGTAATGGGATCATAGATCGTTGTGTACAGGATAAAGCTATCGCGTACGGTAATTCTACAGTATATGCTACCGGTAATTATTATTGTATTACTTAAGACTGATAATATCTCGATGCCATTTTTTTTTAAATATCATCATCGAGTATTGTTCCTACTGAGTTGGTGCCATACCACATTTCTCTTTAATGGATATGTCACTCATTATGTAGAATCAGGCGTCACATTATTTAGTAATTGGTCTGTTTTTATTTTCGTTGCACTTAAAAATTAATCTAATATATTATTATCAAACAGCGCGGCAATCGGCTATGATTGCTACCACACACATGACTAATACTTGTAAAAACAGATCGCAAGTAGAACAATATGTTCCGTGGTTTTTCCTCTCTTCATTGTTCTGGTTAGGCCTAAATATTATTTTTATTTTTCTCTTTTTTCTTTCCTAATACTCTTGGTCCAAAACTCTCACTCATTCCTTTCTGCTCTTTATCACATTTACCATTCTCATGGCACACTTCAATAATTGCCACTATCACCGTCGATATCCATATTACTATAAACAATTTCATAATTATCCTTATCTTATTTCCATATATGTTTCTCAACATAGTTATGGATCAAAAGATTTCACGTGGATTAAACGTACGTATATAGATTGCCTTTTTGGATAGTGTCGTCTATGTTTATCATGCTACATTTGCACGAGCTAAAGCTGAGTGGTAGGCCTAACACCTCCCATGGTAATGCGTAGTAGAAGTCAAATTCACGCGGGCGTGATTGATAAATCAATATCTAAATCATTATGGATCAAAATTTTTATCTATTAACTTAATCGACCGACCAACCGATTGACCAACCAACCAACCGACCGACTATCTCACTGACAAACCATCCATGACGATGATAATAATGACGGTCTAAACTATGTCGACAATTATAATTAGACAATAATGATAATGGTGACAATACATCCAACGACGACAAATTACAGTAGGAACTCGGAAGATGTTAATGGTGATGACAATATTTGACGGTGATGGTGATGAATATGGTAATAACAGTACCAACGACGTCGATGACGATGAATAGACCGAATCGGCGGCTCGGGCCACGTGACTGTATGTACCCTATTGTACACTAACAGTATTCCAGAGCCTAAATAATATGCACGGAGATTGCCAAAGTAATTATAAATCACTATTTAAAAAAACAACAACATAGGCCTACTGCCTTACTTTACTTTAGATCACTCTCTAATTATAATAATAATGATATTAATTTATTTGGCCTACTGCCTTACTTTACTTTAGATCACTCTCTAATTATAATAATAATGATATTTATTTATTAACGATATGAAAAATACCTCTGAAATAGCGCACCGTATTTCGTCATTATGGCCCGTGTGCACGTTAAAGAACGCAGTACACTATTTAAAAATAGTAGGGGATTGTCTTTTGATGGGTTATCCTTGAGGTTTACACCTAATAAATCCATCCGTCCATTCTGCTAATGCGTTGTTGTAAATATCATCCGTATAAAATAATAGTACCACCACCGTTATTATTATTAGGAATTAGTACAAGGGTTCAACGTGGTACACTTTATTAAAAAAAACCCGCAAATGTTATGATTGTACTGGCCATTATGTCATTGGTAAACTATTACGTTGAACCCCTCGTTTGGGACACTCCTATTAACGACACACTTTCCAGTGGAACGAGGGGAAATATAAACTCCTGTTAAGTGGACGGGGACAATTTCTGATTGTGCCAAATGGTCAAATCAATATATTTTCAATCCCTATTAGGGTGACATAACAACTATTCAAAATAACAATATTTAATTCAAATTTGTATTTTGACAACTTTTCATCGGCTAAATTTTGAGCAATTTTTTTGGTGTATCTGTCATTGGACTGGGATCTGTAACAATATACATTCTTTGTGTTTAAATTACATTTATTTTTATTTTATCATAAATGTATTGTATGTGCATTGTAAATTAATGTTACAGATTAGTTTAATTTATAGTGCAACTAATTAGTTCAACTGAAATGAAATTATAAAGGATCTATGTCCCATTGTATATGTGCGAAAACCTCTATTAAGGGGACAATTTCGCGTTTTTCGTAGGTGTCCCCTTAATAGGAGTTCTAATGTATACACGCCTACCGTAAGTGCATTTGAGCATGATTTATCATAGAAGGGGAGCTATATAAATAAATACACAAACCAAGCGTAAAAGTTAGAGTAAATATTTATTTTTATACATATGACATTTCTTGCTAACAATAACCAGGTATAGAAAAAAAAACAAAAAAACAAAGTGAATGGTGTTTTTCTCAGGAGACATCAATTTAGGAGAAACTTCCTGGATAAGAAACTTAAGATAATTTCAGTTTATTTAAGCAAAGGATGAACAAGCATTTTTTATACGTAATTGAGTTGTGAAAAAGAAAATCATAATTTGATTAATCATTTTCATAATTTTCCGCAATTTTAATGTTTTTTTCTTATTTTTATTGCTATATCATGTAAATCTTGAGAGGCATTTAGCCTTGTGTGTGGCAAGAAAAAGAAACAAAGAAAATTGAGGCTCCCTTCTTGGAAAATGCAATAAAGGCAAAGGCAATATTAGCAAATATGTCAATTCAAAGGTAGTCGTCATCGTACATGAAAAAGAAAAGGAGATGTAAAAATAATAATCTAAATGACAATACTTCCTACAAACAATTGTGTCGATAGGCCAATAGTTCTGCGAGATGGACTTATGAGCAATTATTAGCAGATAGAATTATTAGCAAACCGACAGTTAATTCCACTGAAATTGGCCAGGTCACATAGCGTGAGCATGACACACCAAATTTTACATTGTAATGTAGATATATAGGCCTATTTGTATCTTTCTTCGAAGAATTGCATTATTCAAGGAGACAGACGAAGTTCATGAAAATGAAACCACCAAGCAATAAATTGCCCAAACGATTATGTTTTTCAGACAGTTTGTGGGAAATTTACAATTTTTTTGTCGGCTAAGTTTTTTGAATGACTATGGTAAAACACCAAATATTTCCTTTCTATTCTATTGACCGTGGTAGATATGTATGCTCAGTTGCGTATAAGTCTTGAAATGGGGTGCTGATAGAGGGCGGGACAATTAGGGTCGCTAACTATTATTATTTGATTTAGGCAAAGTCTACTTAGGCAAGTTAACTGCACAGCAAAAGAACAAACAGGAAATAAGTACAATCAGAAAACGAAAAATATGGTAAAAAAAAATTTAATGATTCTAAAGAAGGGACACCATCTACAGCTCAGCAAACATATGCTACACCCTTTCTTTTAACACTTTTTCAGGTGGTGACTCATTTTTACACTCGGTAGGCCTATTCTTTAGCGACCAAATCGATAAATATCGTCATATCACAATGCTATTATCATAATGTTTGTGCCGATTACTAGGCCTATTTGAAGCTCAATGAAATCATAATGCGACTGTTTTCTGACATATTTCCTTTTTTTGTTTTACAATAATTTTATAATTTCTATTTTGTAATATGAAGAATATTGATTCCACTCGTTATTTTGAAATGATTAATGTAATACAATAAAACAATGAAGAATTTTTGACTTATGCACAGCCGACTTTTGCGCGAGTTCGACTTGGCGAAAAATAATTGAAACATAAAGCTTGTATGCCCTTTTTAAAAAAAAGATGCAAACGAGCTCCAAAAGAGGAAGATTCAACATATTATAATTTTAACACGATGCAACGTTATTCATTATCTGGTACGTGTTAATGTGAGCTCAATTGTTGTTTTTTTGATGATCTTATCAATCCTCAGAGAGATTGGAGACAGTGTAATTCTGAGAGAAGATTCTAGGTTTGGATTGACAATGAATTTCCATAGCTTTCGTCTTCGTAGCACGTCTGGGTGTTTCTCAGAATTTTGTAGGATAGTTGTATAGAAGTATTTGATACTATGTTTTGAAATGAGCTTTACCAAAGTCTGTCTTTATTTGGGCAGAGTCTTTTCCCGCGCTACACATAGTTTGAGAAGCACGGTGCTACATGACACGAACAGTGTCTAGGCATTGGCTACGCCTTAAGCAGGGTAGTGGGACATTACGTTTCCTTCTC